GGCCCGGTATCAGGCGGAAAAGACGGAGGCGGAAGAGCGCCGTCGCCAGGACAGGCTCGACAATGAGGATCGCGCGCGCCGCAACAAGGAGGAAGCGCGCGCCCGCACGCAGGAGCATGTCTTGTTAATTGGGACTCTCATAAAGAAGCCGTGAGCCTGATGCCTACGAGCCAGATGCTGATGGCTGATGAAAACTCAACCCCATGCCGAGGCAGCATTTACTTCAAAGTGACGTTCTAGTTTCTTTTTAGGATCGAGTATCTTTTCAATGAACTTCTTTACATCATGTAAATTACATGTAACGATCGTCTAGATCATCATGGTAATCAAAAAATGCATTTAACACGCACGGTGGTACTTAAGTATACTTTAACGTGAGAAAGAATTTTATTTCTTGTGAATTAAGAAGACGCATACAATTCTCGTAGCAGCTACACGTCTGTCGATGCCTCCAACACCCCTGAGAAAGTGGTCCGTATTTGCGAAATTCCTACGGTTCATACTCGGTAGTTTACCAACCGAAAAAGGTTATCAAGCCTCATCCCACGCAGTTCAGGGTCGTAAGGAAGCGGCAAGTTGAGGCGGCAGTACACCTTTTGTATACTGCCCATGCCCCACTCAGCAGCTTGACGTACAGACGTGATCGCATTATGGAGAGGGTTCTGGCTGAGCTTCGAAGGGATGGTTCGATTCGATCCAGATCTCCATCTTTCAAAGGCGTCAGAATACGCCCTGCCCTAGTCGCAGAACACGGAAAGGCTAAGTCAGAAACCACGTTCATACGTGGGTCAGGGCACATAACCGGATCCAGGAGCTTGCTGCGGAACTCCAGCGAAGTGTCCGAGTCGTTCCACGACCCAGGACAGTTGTGCTTGCTCCAGACTATACATCCATCCGCGGCAAAGCAAATTGTACCGGTTACGAATACAGTATGCAACCAACCGTTGTACATTGCGTTTTGCATGTCCGCATTCGATGGCTGCTGGACCTGTAATAAAAACAAAATAGTTAACAAAAAAAATTTTTTTAATGCAAAAACGTAGAATATGTACCAACCCTCAAGTTCTTGTCGTCGATAAAGCCAAAGGTGTGCTTGAGCATGGGCTCACGAGCTTCTACCAGCTTCGCCAGCTTTGCTTGGTGCGCAGGGGATGGCCACGCAATCCGCGATGGCTTGTAGTCGTTAAGAGCTTGGTTTAAAACCCTCTCAGCCCTTTGCAACGTCCGACTCAAGGTACTTGCAGGAACCCCAAAGAGCATGGACAGCGTGCTCTGCTCCATCGATCCAGTGTAGAACACCAACACGAGCCCAAGGACCTGGTGTAGGTACTGCAACTTGGGCGGACGACCGCGAGAGTTCGGGTCTCGTATCGTGTAGCATGCAGCAAAGGGATGTAGGAGCTGACGAAATGCAATCCTGTCGACAAAAACTCAGTAGATTAGCCAACATCGTTTAGGTAAGATCGTAGCACATCACGTCACAGCACCTGGTAAGGCTGGTGGCATTAAGAAAGTTCAGGTCGCTGCCATACTCAAACAGCACCATCCACGCAGACTCGCTGGGCGTGTCCAAGCACTGGCTCGTCAAGTAGTGACGGCTGCGCATAGCGGTCCGCCACGCATCCTCTATGAGCATGGCGACCACCTCTCGACGAGCCTCCTTCAGCTCCTGCTCGTGTCGCTGAACAGCCTCCCCTACAAGGAGCATTACATCCAGCTCTTCATCCTCCATGCTTGTGCTGCAAGTTCGAAAACTCAAAGTGGGAAGGTGAGGAAGATTTCGTGTAGTTGTGTCCGGTTTAAAGTGTCGGTTAAATTTGAAGTGACCGAAATTGGTCGTTCTATATATAAAAAGAGGCACTTTCAAGAGGACAGGAACTGTAGTTTTATGCCACTTTTGGTAAATGTTTAGTTGGCAAATGACGGCATAAGCCTCGGATATGACTGTCATATCAGCTGCAAATATGGCACCCGTTTAATATATTTTTGGAAGGCACCCAATGTTGCAGTGATTTTGTCTACTCTACCAAATGAAAACTCCGCCAAAATCCTGGCTCCAATTTGTTTGGATTTTGGATGGAGCTTGAATTTATCGCCACCCTGAAACTATCCATTTTCTGAGGAGTGTTGGTGTAGTTCCCATTTTCCTGCGCTCTTACTGCTCATCCTTCAATTCAATAGAGTATAAGTTTGGGGATGTCAAACAAACTTTCCAGCGGAGTTACGACGCGTCTAGTAGTCGAGATCAGATGCCCTTCGTGTTGCGGAACTTCAGGGATTCGAGTTCTCTCAGCCCTAAGACTGAGCGTATACGCTTGGAATCACATTTCTGAAAGGGCATTTGTGTGTGTGTGTGTGTTTTCTTTTCTTTTTCTGAAATTGGGGTTTTTGGAACACCCCATTGTTAGCAGTTTACTAAGAGCTCCTACTTCAACGTTACCAAAGATGCAGTTAGAAACGATAGAAATGGTACCTTTGGCACCGGACGTGCGGTTACGCGACCATAGTTGGCCAAGCTGCTGTGAGCGAACGATGCTGAATGAAACCTGAGATCTACGGCGACATCGTTGTCTGCTATATGCCTAGCGGCGAGGAGACGATTTAACGAGAACGCGCCACTCTGGAGCGGCGCAAAAGCGGTGGATATTTTGGTGAGCGTTAGGATGTCACGAAGTAAAGGAGGCGAGATGTACCCCTGTGGTCTTCGATCTGTGATATGGAGAAGACTGTAGAACGGGTCTGTTGATGCCGCGTTGCTGCATTTCTATGGTGTGAGGAGGTTGTTGGGCGAACATTGGCGTAAGTGAGGATATATCGCGGTGGTTGTGCGTGCCCTGAGAACATCGACGGACGTCAGGCAATTTCTCATGAGGTTGTAAAGGTAAGTAGGGACTGCTTTGCGTTGGCATACCTGAAATTATGGTTGGAAAGGAGACGACCGTGTACCGAATTAATAAGGAATTCAAAGTGCATTGTTAAAGCATGTGTAGATCCTTCTTGGAGCAGGGGGCTCCGATTGCTGGTGATGTGCGCGCTGGATACTGACAAACAAATAGCTGCTTGTTACGGTGGTCGTACCTAAAGGTTAGCACTTGTAAAGGCGGCATAGAATTCATCGCGACGATACCGAGTCGCGTGGTGTTTGCCCAGTCGAATTCGTACATAGCCGAGTTAGGTTGGCAGGAATAGATGATAAACCTCCTTTTGCTACCGCCCAATTTTGAGTCCACAAATACAGGAGAACCGCTACCCATTCGGCTATGGTACGAAACTCGGCTTGGTAGCGGCGATCCTCCCGGGTGATGGCCTCATCTTCGTATAGGATTTGACCGACATATTCGACGATAAATACTCCTTGCGGAATGCGTTGGGCCGACACTACGCCTAGGGCAACCCTCGATTCAACTAGGTCGAGCTTAAAGCGCGGTTCAAATTGATTTCGCGCGTTGGGCCAAGTAAGCAGGTGTTTTCGTCGCATATTGCTGTCGCGTTTGAGTCGACACACCCGGTAGTTAAATTTGTGCCGGTGCCGGATATGCAGCATGGTTCGCAGCAGTATTTATCGATGCTGCACTATTGACTGACAACGGGGTATGATGGCGAGACTGATAACACGCTTCGATTAATGTTGACGATATTGAGCGGCCAGTCTTGTAGGATGACGAAGGCGTAGGTGCTACCGATAGCTTGTATTTTGTCGGGCGGAGTTGCGCCGGTAAGATGAGAGGGCAATTGTTTACTTTGATGTCGGCGGTGGAGCGGTTGAGTGGCTTGAAATATCCTCAACCAGGTGAGCTGAGCGGGTCGGAGAGGCACGCTGGTGTATTTGCAATGATGTACTTGGTGTGTGATGTTTCAACATCGATTGCTGGTGAAAAGCTTTTCAAGTTGAAGGTAGGAAAACGAATAGCGGCGACTTGAAACGAGTACAAGTCTTTCTAGAGCGGGTGGCCTGATGTGAAGTACGCTTACGGTCAATGTGTTGAGTCGTAGAAAAATGTGGGTTGGTGATGGGTGAGTGAGTGCGTTTCGTGGTGGCGTTGGGAGGGTTCGCCTGTCGTGCCGGTAGATGTATGTGGAGAAGCAGCTCGGTCTCTGTGCGATACATTGATCAAATGAGACCAGTGAAGGTAACGCAGACTTGTATGTTGAAAGCGGTTGGAGCCGTTCGATGTGACATCAGCGTGGGATTGTTTTTCGCTGTGTACTTACTCGATTGGCCTCACCATCGCACACTGAGCGCCGCTGATGAAGTGTATGATTTGTTATCTATCGTTTTACGTGCAAGATTGGTGCTCGAAGGCAGGCAGAGAGGGGAAAGTCTACGGAAGTTTTCATCTTAGCTTGGGTACATTTTCCTCTCGGTATCGGGCCGTTGGCGCGAGGGACAGGAATGAGCAGGGTGTCCTTACGCTATACATCAGCGAAGCCCGTTGCGCGATGGCAGCTGGGCTTCCAAAGGACCATGGTGTATGGGAAAAGGCGAGCGTCGGAGGCGTTAAATAAACTGCGAGTAAAATCTTCGCTCACGTTCGAGGCAATTTTCAAATGAATAGGAGTTCACTTTCCATTTAGGATGGCGCAATTGACGCTTGTGATTCTCTATGCAAAGCGAGCTGCATAAAAGGAGGAAGAATCCCGCCCGGCCTTTGACACGGCTAGTGCGATTCGCGAGGTCGTCGAGGTCGACAAACCTGCCCTAGCGACAATGATTGTGTTCTAAGGGGGCGAAGGAGTTAGATCGCTTTTGACGACCGGATCTGCTCGACAGGAGCAACTGGCAGCATTTTGATGCGGTCGTTCGGGCCTATAATTCTGTCGACCTTGCCTGCCGCAGCAAGTGCATCTTCGCACTTACTATCTGGAAGAATCGTGATGAGTCGCTAAACGCCGTGAGTTTTCGGGATGACCTCAACTAACACTTTGAGAAGGTGCATTCCCTAAAGCTAGTGTATGGGAACCCTGGTGGGTGTGTGCAGATTCGAGAGCCGCTGCGGGCGGATCCGCTCGTGCTAGGAGAACACACCTTCAGAACGGAGGCTTCACCATCAGTGCTAGACCAGCAACCCGGTACAGTGGTTTCAAGATCGCTTCCGCGTGCTCCGTTCATAGCGGCCCCGATGAGATCTAGTGAAAAGACGCCATTCAAGCGCAAGACGCGTAAATGAGGACAAGTCCTGCAAGAGGGACAACGGCAATGGGGAGCTACCAGGTGGACTCGGTACAAAGGGTGGACCTGTTTGAACGTGGTGATCGGAGGAGATACTGTTGAGCGTTGGAATGCTAAATCATTGGAAAAAATCTCGAAGCTCATTAAGTAACCTATGCGCGAGATCGTTCACCGCACTTTATCAAAAAAATTCATTTAATTAAGCTGTCGTGCCTGCGGCTGTATCTTGAGCGTTACTGTCGCGCTACTATTTGAGTTGTAAGCCGTAAGAAGTTACGGATAATTCAGTAACGAG